TTCTATCTAGAAAACAGGAATAATGACCTTTTCCCATGAACAATATCAGGGTTACAACCAGTACAGAGTTAGATGTGATTGAGTCCATTTAAATTTGTATAAAGCACTTTGCATACTGAAAATTTTACTTGCATATGAGACATGTATGCTGCATTTAAAGAAATGTTGGATGTGAATGTAATAGATCAATAGAGTGAAACAAAAAAAGACTCTTTTCACTTCCATGGAGAACTCGACAAAAGGCTGAACACCAAACATAGTTTAATGATGATCTGTTAACACCTTTAACGACCATCAAAATAGGGGTTAATGGATGTCAAATCAATAGCATTTTCCCAGTCAAGCAAACACACATACAGGTACATCCATTTTACTGAATGTATATTTATATAATTGAAGATGATCTTGTGCTACTTATTCCTAGGACGTACTCATACTTTAAATGCTATGGCTCCATCCTATGGGATCTTGGAATTTAGTGAGCTACTTTAAATTCTCTGCCTGAGAGCACTAGCTCTGTAATTAAGAGAAGCCATGGAAAAATGTGGTGGTGGTTGTTATGTGCCTTCAAGTCAACTCTTGACCTATGGCCACCCCATCACAGGGTTTTCTTGGCAAGATTTGTTCAGAAGTGGTTTGCCATTGTCTTTCTGTTAGGCTAAGAGAGTGTGATGCCCAAAATCATCCAGTGGATTTCCATGTGCGAGGAGTTCAAACCCAGAATCCTATTTAGTCGCCTAGAATCCTAGTAGTTCAACACTCAGACCACTGTACCAAACTGACTCTCTGTACTTAAGAATTGTAAGTACATCACCAAACTACAAATCCCAGGATTCTGAAGGATAAACCAATGGCAAAGTGGTACCCTACTGCTATAACTGTCCAGTGTGGACATACCCTAAGGGTGGGGTGAAGATTGTGCAGGCCTCTAGATATTGTTTGACTGCAGTTCTCAGCATTCTTAACCATTAGCTGTGGTGGGTAGGGATGCTGGGATTTGCAGCAATGTCATTTGGAGGCCCACATGATTCTCACATGAAACACAAAGATATAATATTGTATACAGCAGTCTCTCCATCATCACCAGTATCCTTCAGATATGCTCCCATCCAATACTTTCCTCTAAGCTGGCTCGGGTTAGTGAAGGTTGTAGCTCAACACACCTGGAGGGCCTCAGGTTGTATTACATATCATAATGAAATAAATTCCTCTTGTCCGTTAGATGTACTTCACAGTCCTTGCTGGGAATCAACAGGCACAAAATACAGTTTGAGTCTACTTTATCTGGAATTCCAAAATATTCCAAAGCCCCAAACTTTTTTCATGGGTGGCTGAGATAGTGACACCTTTGCTTTCTGATGGTTCAGCGTACCTACCCAAACTTTGTTTCATGCACAAAATTATTAAAAAGTATTCTATAAATGACCTTCAGGCTCCGTGTATAAGATGTATATGAAACATAAGTGAATTTTGAAACATACAGGGGTAGCTGTGTTGGCCATTCAGCAAATTCAAACAAATTCAAACAGAAATGTTCCTGATGCAAAAATATGAAGAGTCCTTGAGGAACCCATTGTCCTCTGCCTACAAAGAGGCCTGTGACCTCATAGGAATGGAGACATATTGCATTGCAAGAAAGGGGTTCTTGTTGAGATGCAAATGGACTTTAAATTTCCTGGTCTTTGCAAATCTCCCAATATCCACATGGCCAGAAGGAGGAGAGGCCAGCCTGCAAGAGATGCCCTCCCCTTACCATCTTAACTAAGGACAGAAATATCCAAATGCAGGCATCTGACTAACATCTCCAGTTGTTTTTCTCCTGCTTGGTTTGTAACATCTTGCCTGATGAAGAAGCCAGAGGAGCTTTGAAAGCTTGCAACAAGTATATTGTGCATTTTGGTTGGCCAATAAAGGTGTCACTGTTTGGTGGATTTTTATATAAATGAATTTTGTGATTAGACTTGGGTCTCATCTCCAAGATATCTCATTATCTACCGGTACCTATATGTCAATGCAGGCATTCCAAAATCCAAAACAAATGGAGAATCCAAAATACTTCTGGTCCCAAGCACTTCGGACAAGGGAGTCTCAATCTGTACTAGCATACGTTGCACCTTCTCCTTTGCCCAACAGACTTGCTTGGTTCCCCATCCACCTGCACAGAGTTCGGTTTCTCCTTCAGTGGCGCCAGGTGTAGTGCCTGTCAGTCACCTTTTAAAGCTGGTTTAATGAAAAATATTCCCGGCCTCAGTGATTGGAGTTGCTGCTGTGGGAAGGGGAGGAAGGGCTTGTTGTTCATCTTTTGTAAATGCCTGTATCTCAAGCCCTCATGTGGGCCTTCAAACAAATGGTCCATTGTTTCTGGAGCCTTCATGGCTAGGAAGCAAGGGGCGGGGGGAGAAGGGAGAGACCTGCTGTGGCTCCTTTAGCCGATTAGCCTTATTAATAGAAATTAAACCCCGTCTGCAAGCTCTGAGAAACCCTCCATGCTTCCTTTCCTACCTGTGCTCTTGCTCCTTCCTCCCCCTCTTTGGAAAGGAATGTATAGGTAAGGGAAGGGGGTGAGGGAGGGAAGGATGTTAAGAAGCTTAGAAGATTAAAAAGCAAGGCCTTTCACTTCTGGGACTTGTGAGGATAGGTATTAAAACCAACCAGGGTTCAGTGGTGCTACAAGTGCCGTTTTTCTACAGCAGCCTAACCTTACCCCACCACTCTCAGAAAATATAGTACCAGTGGGATCCTTCCACTCTCCATTAGTTGTTGTTGTTTTTCATTTAGCCTGGGGTGGGCACTGTGCAACCTGTTCACATTACACAATTGTTGTTGTTGTTAGCAGCCCTCAAGTTGAGTTTGACTCATGGCGACCCCATGAAGGAGACCAACCTCCAAACTCCTTTGTTCTCAACCATTTTGTTCAGGTCCTGGTGGCTCAGGGCCATGATCTCCTTGACTGAGGGCCTCAGCAGACGACTAATAGAGTCGTCTTCGAGGCCCTGAAGAGGAGGGGCAGCCGCACGAGCGGCGCCCCTTCCTCTTCCTGAGGTCACCCTCGGAGTCGCTGGCCCTCCGCACGGCTGGCACTCCGGGGATGACCTCACGCTGCAGCGACCACATGCGCTGCGGCGGAAGAGTCAGGGAAAGTGCGCCTGCCGCTTTTAGGGCGCACTTTCCCTGACATCTAAAAGGAGCGCCAATTTGGAGCTCCTTTTAGATACCCCGCAGGAGCGCCACGGTGCGGAGGCTGCGATCCCACGGCGCTCCGTCTGGCGGCGTCTCCTGGGCCTCCGTCTGCTGAGGCCCTGAGTCTATCCATCTAATATGTCCTCTACCTCTCTTTCTATTGACCTCCATCTTTCCTAGCATTATTGTATTTTTCCTCCTCATGATGTGTCCAATAGCCTCAATTTTAGTCATCTTGGATTCCAGGGAGAGTTCAGGTTTGTTCCAGAACCCATTTGTTTGTCTTTTTTGGCCATCCATGGTATCCTTATCACTCTTCTCCAGCACCACATTTCAAATGTGTTGACTTTCCATCAGTTTTTTTCACTATTCCCACATCTGTGCAAGGTGATGGGAAATGCAATGGCTTGGACAATCCTAATTTTGGTGTTCAGTTATATATCTTTGCACTTCAATATCTTGTCTAGTTCTTGCATAGCTGCCCTTCCCAATCCTAGTCATCTTCTGATTTCTTGACTGAAAATCCCGTTCTGATCAATGATTGAGCCAAGGTGTGGGTAAATCCATACTACAACTCCCAGGATTCCTTACAAGGTAAGGGACACAGTGGCGTAAGTGTTTAAGATGCTGACTCTGTTGATTGCAAGATCGGCAGGTTAGCAGTTCG